AAGCAGCAAACATCACATTCATCCGACCCATCCGCATAACCAACCAACGGCTATTAATTGCAGCCAGAAACAAAACCCGATAGCCCAGGCTTTGAAAGCAGACGTAGATACCGAAATTATTGCGTATGAATGATGAAGGTATCATTGAAAAACCATCAGACCCAGTAAAGGGCTTTCAATATATCTATGATTTACCAAACGCAAGAAAAAACGGATCGATTCGTGTCGTTGCTAACTTTAAAGAACAAAAACAAGGTCTTAGTCGATCATGTCCATTCCTTACCCAATGCCAAACTTTCAAAGATTTCAAACAATTTCTTCCATATATCGACGAAAATATGGTCTGAAAATTAAAGTGATACGACTTATACAATCTTTTTTCCCAACGAATTTATTTTTTTCAGTAGGAACACACCAACCATATCTCTGAAAATTCGGACATCAAGCTGAATCTCGATAAATGTTCCTTCATTCGCATGAGAGTCAAATATTTTCAACCTTCAATATGGGACTCATACTTAAACAGCGAAGGATTAAATCATTTTGATCCAAGAATACGTTCGTGTCATCCAGGAAATGAAACCTCCAACATCAAAAAAAAGGAATTAAAAGCCTTATCGGCCGTTTATTGTGGATCAGACAATTCCTAAAGTTTAGTCTTCACGAACAAATCAGGTCATTTATGTTTTCAAAACTTATGGATTCCCCATATATCAACTCAACAACATTTAATAAACCGTTTTTCTGGACGCAAATTTTGCCAAACAGAAGAATAAAAAATCATAAGAGGAAATTCTCTTTTTTTTTTTATAAGGTTTATTTTGGAAGACATTTGGTCCAACCACCGACGCCAGTGACGTCGAATGGGGTAAAGATAAATGGTCAGTTTAAATGTGGGTAATGAGTGTTGTAATAAAACAACGGGAAGAAAGATATCTGGGCGGTTATTTGTCATTACATTCAACTTCAACGGAAAAGAAATCCACGATAAAAGAGAGGCATAATTAATAAATTTGCCAATATTAAAATTTGATTATTTCCTTAGCAATTGATGTTACCTTCAACATCACCGGCCACAGAATTTCATCGTCGGACCTGTCCACTAGAGTTCAAATAATATCAAAAACGACGATGGCAAGAAGATTTTTTTTCTTTTTTATAAATTATTCTTGGAATTTTTTTGACCATTGTTTCAAATTTATTGGTGCGTTTGCTCAGCAGAGGTGCACCCATCTGACATAAGGAACGAAACGGAATGACCCTGTCACCGGCAGGCAGGGATATTTGATCGTTTGTTCCATTCCGCGTATTTTTCCCATCTTTTGCCTCTCTTTAGTTTAACGGTTTATTGCTCAGAAAAACTCTCACAAAACAAAACGCCCGCACCCACAAGCTGCGCCACCAACGCATTCTTGCCTATGTAATCCACCGCCACCATTCCACTGAGAGAATTTGCCCATTCCTCGGCATCTCAGATGAACAACTGATCAGGACGACGCCCTGGCAAAGATCATCATCCGCCCTCCAGTCACCCATACAAAAGCGAACCTCTATTAAAAATTTGACGACCACCGAAATACGCTTTTCAAAAAATTTCTCACCAATATTTTTGAGAACCAGGCACCTCCGTTAAACTAATAAAACAATAAAACTCTCCGAATTATTAATTAATTCAAATTAAACATAACCCAGTTATAAGACCAAGTCCAGGCCTCAAAAGCACCAAGGCCTCAGGTATTCAAATTGTATGGGACAAAATCAAGAAGTTTTCCAGCTACTGAATGGGAATAGGAAAACCGCGACATCAAGGAAAAATCGATTCTTGCGACACGTGTGCTAAGTGCAAGGGCAAAAACAAACTGGGACGTTGGGAATCTCAAATTGGATCACTGTAAACGAGGAAAAAGACCAGGATCTCGTCGGGAATAGACTTTGTCACAATGCCCAAATCAAAGGGAAAACGCTACATCCTAACCATCTTGGATAGCTTCAGCCGAAATTTTACATGTGATACCATGACCGAGAGAAGAGATAATCGACGCCGCCCGTTCAAATTGTACCATTTCTTCCTTCGACACAGAGAGATTCCACTGCATAGTATCCTCTGATCGAATCACACATCTTCACTGGAGAACCGGATTAGACAATTCTGTAACCAGATGTCAATCACGCAAGAACTCCTTCACCGTCCTTGGCGCCCGCAAATCTCAGGAAATATCGAGAGACAACATCGCACGATGAAGAACGCACTTTATATGTTATGCGAAGACAGGAACTGTGAATGGACAGACGTTCTAGAATCTGTCGTTTCGTCCTTAAATGGCCCGACCAACTTCGCCACCGGTTTGTCCCCGCACTATACCATTACTGGCCGTCACCCCCAACATCGGCCTACCTACACTACACAGAAAAAGAAATCACAAGCGACGATCCTGGAGCATAATTTAAATTAATGCCCTGCTAAACAGGTGCTAAACCACCTCACCCTGGCCAACGATGAAAATGACCACAAACTTGAGACTAACTTAAATCGGTATAGGTTAAACAATGTTTAAGGTTTTTGTAATGCTCAACTGTAGCCCAATCCTCTCATCTGCCCTGATAGGAAATTACACCATTATAAAACGAACAATATGATAAGGTCAAAACGATGACAATACAATCTGGATTCACCGTGCACATATCCGACGACTGGCTCCATATATATATTTCTAATACAATCCTCTGCCTCCACCATGTAACAGTTTGTATTTTCCTTTACATCCCTCGGGGACACATAACTCAGCAAATAATTATTTCAAAACAAATGCCAATAGGCAGAACACGAGGACAACTTCCCCACGCTTCAAAGACTTTGTCTGAATTAATCACCCAAATATATACGAATAACGCTCACATTAAATGAGACCGGGATCTGGGGGACTAGATTATAAAATAAAATAAGACATTTTCTCAGATTTACAGGCAAGAGCGAGAATGGATGCGAATGAATCTCAAAAGCCCCGTCACAAAATGTAGCTGTTTAAGAAATTGCGTGTTGACCCCTTTCGGGCGGACGCTATGAAAACATTCACACACGCACACATACACGTATGTACAAAACTTCATTACAAACATATACGAACTTTCAACTAATCAACACATATGCGAACTTTCCACTCTTTCACAGTGAGGCAAAAGAAAAGTGTAGAATCAGATTCCTACATTTTTTTAAATCTTAAATTTTGTGCAAGTTAAACACATAGAGGCTCCCAGCCAAATATAACAACTGATGTATTTTGATTGGTTGTAAGATATTAATTAGGTGTCGTCAACTACGTCCGAAGGTACCGACCAAAATTTTGACCTCTAGTTGACGCCATAAACATGTTTACGAGCCTCCCCACGTGACCAAGAGAACTAATAAAAACGAAACTTCGACGCGACTTAGTCAGTGGGCACTTAAAATATTGAAACCAATTCACTTGACTTCATTGGAAATCAACACAGCAAAGGAGACGAACTTTATCTTCAATACAACAACAAACTTTGTCAACCATCTCCAGGCTTAACGCTCACTCCCACAAAATATTCCATTCCACAAGAATCTCTGGTTAAGAGCGATAACGATAACAATCAGTGAGTCAAGAACAATACTTTTTTCTATTTAATACAAAAAAAAAACATCTGTTTAATTTTCCTATAAAAACAAATATAGCTAACTAAACCTTGTCATTTTCACACATACAGTACAGTAGCTCAAATTCTTTCAAACAAACACACCAAAAAGAACTCTATTGTGTTTATCAACTTTTGCACTATATATTATGTATTTGTTGTGTTTATAAAAAATATTTATTGTTGAACAAATTCACATTTTCTTCTACTTGATTATTTGCTGTCTTTGTTAGATTTGATTAAAAATTCAGTTTTATTTTTAACCAATACAAATTGGCTGACCCACTATAAATTTTGATATGTGCAAAGCAATATTTTAAAAAAAATTTTATAAGAGAAATACATTAGTTGTCAGTTTTTAAACGGAAATAATGGAAAATTTATAACCAATATTTCCAAATTGACGTACAACCACACCAACGTTCAAGTGTGGTTTGCGCAGTTAAACGCAATTTTAATGCAAGAAAGGTCACGTCTCAACATGCCCGTTGCACTTTTGTAGTTGAGAAACTTCCCTCAGATGTAGCATTAGAGGTATCAGACCTCCTCAGTGAAGTGCCGGCGGAGAAACCGTATGATACTTTGGAAGATGCTATACTATACCGCACGGGCGAATCAGAGGAACGTCGGTTGCACGATTTGTTTAACAACCTTCATTTGGGGGACACTATAAACCTTCCCAATTGCTTAGAAAGATGAAAGCTTTACTAGGTGACAATACCATGTCTGACACAGTCCTCCGTAAACTATGGATGGATAAACTGAGCCCACAAACATCACAAATATTAGTGTCACTCCCGGACGATTTGGACCTACAGCGATTGGCAGAAATCGCGGACAAAATATATGAGAATAAACCTCCGGGAACTGCTTCTGCGACACCACTATAACCTATTGTCTCTTCAGTCCGTGACTCACAAGAGTTATCGAAAATTAAAGATTGTATAGCCGAGCTTACCTCACAGTTACAAGCTCTACAAACCGCTATGCATCAGCAAAATCGCACACCCAACAATTTCACTAGTCGACCACGTCCATCACATCATACTAGGCGAAGATCACGTTCCACATCCAGAAGCAGGCCTATATTTAATACCTGTCGGTATCATTTTAAATATGGACAACAAGCGCGGCATTGTACGAAACCGTGTAATTTCGACATAAACGCAGCTAAGGATAACAACACACAGCAGTCGGGAAACGACTATCCCGGGAACAAGTAGAGACGTTTGCTGCCGGAGGGATGCCAAAAGTCGTCTCTTTTACATCCGAGATGAGAACCCGGATACTTGTTTTTAGTGGACACTGGGGCACAAATTAGTGTAATACCAGCCAAGCCTAATATGTTGACTAGAAAGACAGATTATACGTTACAAGCGGCGAATGGATCTTCAATCCAGACATATGGTGAAACCTCTTTAACCCTAAATCTGGGATTTAGGCGATCTTTTCCGTGGGTATTCACGATAGCCCAAGTTCGAACCCCAATCCTAGGAGCGGATTTCCTCGCCCACTTTAACTTGTCTGTTAATATGTCTTCCCTTTCTTTGGAGGATAAAACGACCAACATTACAAGGAAAGGAATTACATCTATTTATACGAGCACATGTATCAGCGCAACTCTACCTGAAGCCAACGGAATGCAGGATCTGTTACAAAAATATTCTCAAATTACAACACCATTCCGGTATACAGAAACCGTTCGTCACAATGCTGAGCACCACATTGATACTACGGGCCCACCCGCGCATTCATCTCCACGGCGATTGAGGCCTGATAAATATAAACTGGCGAAAGACGAGTTTCAGCACATGCTGGACCTCGGTATAATAAGACCTTCTTCGAGTCCTTACTCATCTCCTCTTCATATGGTTCCAAAACCGGACTCAGGAGCTTGGAGACCTTGTGGCGACTTCCGGAAGCTGAATGCTACTACAATTCCGGATAAATACCCCATCCCGCACTTGCACGATTTCACAGTGGGTCTGCAGGGCGCCACAGTCTTCACCAAACTTGATCTGGTGAAAGCATTCCACCAGATACCAGTGGCCATGGAAGACATCCATAAAACAGCAATAACTACTCCTTTTGGCTTATACGAATTTGTGAGAATGCCATTTGGTTTAAGGAACGCTGCACAATCTTTCCAACGGCTTATAGACGAAGTGCTGAGAGGTTTACCTTTCACTTTTTGCCTATATTGATGACGTCCTGATCGCCAGTAGAAACAAGACTGAACATCGTCACCACGTTGAACAAGTTTTCCAGCGTCTACAGCATTTTGGCCTTAAGATTAACGCAGAGAAATGTATTTTGCTGTGCCCTCGCTTAAATTTTTGGGACACGTCATTGACGAAAAGGAATAACGCCCTTACCTGAGAAAATAGAATCTATTTCAAATTTCTCACAACCAACTTCACTCCGGCAGTTACGCCGATTCTTAGGCCTCATTAATTACTACCGGAGGTTCATTCCTGGTTGTTCCCAGATTCTGATTCCCCTCACAGATTTACTGCAACAACAGCGTCAGAAGAACTCAAAGATTACCTTGGAAGGCGAATCACTGACTGCTTTTCACAGAGCCAAAGACGCCCTTGCCAACTTTACGAAGTTATCATATATAACCGATGATGACTCAATGATCACACTGACAACAGACGCATCAGGCGACTCCATAGGGGCTGTGCTTCACCAGGAACAGGGAGATGCTAAAAACCTATTTCGTTCTTTTTCAGTCAAGCTAAACTCATCTCAGAAAAAGTACAGCGCATTTTCAAGGGAATTACTGGCAATATACTTGGCAATCCGTCATTTCCGTCATCTTTTTGAAGGACGGAATTTTGTGGTCTATACAGATCATAAACCATTAATTTATGCTCTGCACGCCAAGTCGGACAAATATACCCCAAGGATATCCGACAATTGGATTATATTTCCCAATATACGTCGGATATCCGCTATGTAAAAGGGCTGACAATATAGTAGCTGATACCCTATCGCGATCAACGATACAGTCAATTGACGCACAGACCTTGAATTTCGACTCCTTAGCGGAAGAACAAAAAGACTGACACTACTTTGGAATCAGTAAAGAAAAAACGTCACTACAGTTAAAGCAACAACCTGTGCCATTTGGTAACACTACTGTCTATTGTGATGTAAGCACAGGATACTCTAGGCCCTATGTACCACCTTCTTTGCGAAAAAAAGTATTCGAACATTTCCATTCTCTGTCGCACCCTGGTCGAAGAGCGACTACTAAGATGATTAGTGATCGTTTCGTTTGGCCAAAAATGTCCAATGACATAAAACACTGGACACAGACTTGTTTAAAATGCCAGCAAACTAAAATACAACGGCATACCAAGTCTCCGCCTGGTACATTCTCTAAGCCTGATGGTAGGTTCACCCACATTCACGTTGACTTAGTGGGCCCTTTGCCCGACATTGATGGGTACCAATACTTATTAACAATAATCGATCGTTTCACTCGTTGGCCTGTAGCCGTTCCTTTAAAAAGTATTTCAGCGGAAACGATTTCCAGGTGCATTCTTAGAGAGTGGATCTCTATCTTTGGTTGTCCTTCAATAATAACCACTGATAGAGGTTCCCAGTTCCAGTCAGTCCTTTTCAATGAATTTATAAACTTGTTAGGCGTAAAGCACATTTCTACAACCGCCTACCACCATCCATGTGCAAACGGCCTTGTGGAACGATTTCATAGGCAACTTAAGGCAGCACTAGCAGCAAGTGATGACTCCAGGACTTGGCTGGAAAACCTACCACTGATTTTACTGTCATTAAGAAATGTAGTCAAAGAGGACTTAGGATGCACTATAGCAGAACTTGTTTTTGGGAGTACGCTAACACTCCCTGGACAGTTCGTGGAAAAGCATACTCCTTCCAGACCGACTACCTATTTCGTCCAGGATTTTAAACAAAAAATGGAAAACCTAGCTTTTACTCCAACGCGTGCCCAAACAAGGAAGTTCTTTATGCCGAAAAATTTAGACAGTTGTGATTACGTCTTTCTGCGAAAAGATGCAGTTAGAAGACCCTTAACCCCCACGTATTCTGGTCCAAGCATTTTACTTTACTTTTGCACGGAAAGCCTAACACAGTGTCAGTCGACCGGTTGAAACCGGCTTACATCGATTTATCTCATAAATCGCTTCCTAACCCTGAGCTAACATCTTCGACCCAGCCAGCGCAGCTTGCACCTTCAGTACCACCCGCGGAAGTTACTACTAAGTCTGGCAGACATGTTCATTGGCCTAGTAGATTTAAAACGTATATTACATATTGAGAAAATTTTCTCTCAAAACTTTCACAATCTGCGGGGGGTTATTGTAGAATCAGATTCCTACATTTTTTTTTAAATCTTAAATTTTGTGCAAGTTAAAACACATAGAGGCTCCCAGCCAAATATAACAACTGATGTATTTTGATTGGTTGTAAAATATTAATTAGGTGTCGTCAACTACGTCCGAAGGTACCGACCCAAATTTTGACCTCTAGTTGACGCATAAAATGTAAACATGTTTACGAGCCTCCCCACGTGACCAAGAGAACTAATAAAACGAAACTTCGACGCGACTTGGTCAGTGGGCACTTAAAATATTGAAACCAATTCACTTGACTTCATTGGAAATCAACACAGCAAAGGAGACGAACTTTATCTTCAATACAACAACAAACTTTGTCAACCATCTCCAGGCTTAACGCTCACTCCCACAAAATATTCCATTCCACAAGAATCTCTGGTTAATGAGCGATAACAATCAGTGAGTCAAGAACAAATACTTTTTTCTATTTAATACAAAAAAAAAACATCTGTTTAATTTTCCTATAAAAACAAATATAGCTAACTAAACCTTGTCATTTTCACACACATACAGTACAGTAGCTCAAATTCTTTCAGTAACACACACACCAAAGAACTCTATTGTGTTTATCAACTTTTTTGCACTATATATTATGTATTTGTTGTGTTTATAAAAAAATATTTATTGTTGAACAAATTCACATTTTCTTCTACTTGATTATTTCTCTTGTTGTTGTCTTTGTTAGATTTGATATTGTAAAAATTGTAAAGGGTCAGTTTTTATTTCTATTTATAACCAATACAAATTGGCTGACCCACTATAAAAGTCAACCAGACACATCGTTGTCATGCTAATGAAATTTAACTTGGATATTACAGTGTTTTCCAATTCTTCACCAGCAAGAAATTGCTTAAAGAAAATAGCACATTTTCAGCCCTTCAAGACATAATTCAAGAAACATTCTCACTCAGTTCTATAAACCAAATTTACTCTTTGATGAACATTTTCTTTTAGCGGCAAGATTTATTGTAATTATTTTCAGATGCACAAAAAGTAAATTTTATTTAGTACCAAACAGAAACTTCTTTAAACATCAAATAAATATTCAAAGTTCCATTTTTCCAAGCACATTCTCACAGTGAACATTTTGAACTGCATGTCAACAACTTTTTATGAGCTTGTAGCGGGCGGTCCATGCGGCCCCGTATCACAGAAAGGGGTGAACGAGGTCACAAGAGGCCCGCTAACATTTTTGAAGACGTTAAATCTGACGGTGAAACAATATGGACGACAGAACGAGGATATGTATGATATATAGAGGTTTATTCTAAAAGGAAATGAAAAGGATGGTCGGAAACGGTGGAGGTGCTGGAAGCTGCAGGAGTGAGCTGGAAACAGCAGGAGTGCTGGAAGCTGCAGGAGAGAGAGCTGGAAGCTGCAGGAGTGAGCTGGATGCTGCAGGCATTGATGGTCGAGGTCGTTGGTTTGTTGCTATGATCATCGTTGTTGGGGGTTGAAGCTGATGTGGGTTGTTGCCAGGATGATCGCTTGGTGGTTGTGGAAGTTGATGTTGGTTGATGCCAGGATGATCGTTGTTGGTTGTTGAAGCTGAGTCGTTGCCGGGGTGCCAACTTGACGTGTTTTGTCGTTGCCGGGGTTTCAACTTGTTGCTGCAGTTCGTGTTGTTTGTCATTGCCGGGATGCCAACTTGACGTGTTGGGGAGGAGAGAGAGAGAGAGAGAAAGAAAGTTCCCAACTATCAAGCCTCCTCCTGAATCTAGGGAGAAATCACTGTCTTGTCACACGGGGGACCAGCAAGAGAAATTGGCTAAGCTAACCGAAAAGTCTCTATAATAAAATACTACAAGGTTAGCTAAAGAGAAGTAATGTCTAAAAATGACTAGTAGTATATTAAGTATAGGTTTGTACAATATAGCCTAACTAAAAAGGGGATTTGCTTGTCCCTCTGACGTGTTAACAGTGTGTAAAAGGAGCATGAATGAGAGGTCAAGGTCGAAATGACCTGTTCCTCTGCCGGTTCAAGGATAGAAGGAGGAGGTAACTCCGACAAGCTCAGATAAAAAATATTTCATTAGTAAAGACTTTAATTCCAGTGAAAGGAAAGTAATCCCTATGCTTGTACATATTGTTTTGTGTTGTTTTTCTTGTTGCTTTTGCGTTTGTTTACACATTCGTAAAGTGAAAAAAAATGTACGGGTTGATTGAGGCCGTCAATACCGCTACAATTACCTCACACAGAATTAAATAATAGGCACATAACTTAACACATAAATTTTCTTTTTTTAAAATTAAGTGACTTTTGAAAATTTGTGGATCGACTGAGAAAAATATAGCTTGTTATTAGTATTAAATAATCAATATTTTTTCGCTTTTTAAAAAAAATATTCATATCACCATAACTGTTGAGAGCTATCTCCTTTTTATAATTTCGATTTTGTAAGTTTATTTACAACTCTAAATTTGAAAAATACATACTGTATTAGATCCGATATTAACATTAAGCAAAAACGAAAAAAAATAAAAAAAATAAAAACGCTGAGAAAATAAATGTAAGACAAGAGCAATAACAGACGAACATTTCTCTTTTGTTCATATTTTTGGAAGTTCCGTGGTAAAGTATTTTCACTGTTTCATTTTTGTCTCTCGTCTTCAAATTTGTTGTTTTAAGAAAATACTCTGGTCAGTTCATACAAGACAGCCGTGTAGAATAGCCTTACTCAGCTGTTTTGTATTTTCCTTTTTTATCCTCTTTTTTATTCCTCTTTAACTCCTTTAGTATCTAGAATAACAATTAAAGGACCTATATTTAAAGATTAAAACTTCAACGTATATCAAAGACAATTAAGTAAACACTATAT